CCATGATTTTCTGAAAACGTGGCATTCATTATATGACAGATCTTGTTTATAAGGTCTATGCTAGCAGTTTCTCTTCTCGCACTTCTCGCTTGTGGAAATCTATTTCAGTTTCTTGCTTTCCAGTCAATTTTGATCTTCAAAAATTTAAATGCAATGTCAATCGTTATCTTCTGTCTTCTTAATTCATATTCTTTTATTTTCCTTTCTCCTTAATAGCAGTTTTTCTCATATTCTCTAACACTGAGTAATCACTTGCATCCTAGCGGCTTTATTGCCTTTGATCTTCAAAAATTTAAGTTCAATGTCAATCGTTATCTTCTGTCTTCTTCATTTCTGTTACTCTATTATTCTCTCCCCTTAATAATATTTTTTCTTATATTGTTCACACTCAATAACACTCTGAGTGTTAGCGTCTTTGTTGTCCTACTTGGAGTGAAATGATTCCAAAAAAATAGATCTGCTAACCTGGCCTGGAAGAAGGGCTGATTGAATATCAAAGTCTCCCAAATGTTTACATTTTATTTGTTTATACCACTTTATACATTGTGGACTCTAAAGTTTTACTTATTATTTATTGTTGTTGCTGTTGTTGATGTTTTTTACTTTGCTGTGTGTAGTAGAAGATGACACAAGTATAAATCAGAAACTTCAAGAGACAACAGTTTTTTTCTTTTTTCTCAGAAAATGTAAACATATGCTGTCGAAGAAAAAGATGTAACGTAATTGTGGTCATTTGATACAGAGAAATCTACTCAAGATGTGAGAAGTGTTATGGTGTTTGTTAGTAGAAATAACAGTAAAAAACAATAGAGAACAAGACATGTTAAGCTTACAAGGGGGGAACCGCACTGCCCTGAAAACAAAGCGACCTCTTTTATTCAAGGAAGTAACTGGCTATCCAGGGGAGGTAACTCATGTCATGACAGGAAGTAACTATGAATATAATTTTTTAAAAATTCACTGATTTTCGGGTTAACAGGAATTAGATCCACATATTTCCTTTCTTCTCTTGATATCATTTTCAAAGCCCCAATAACAACAGGTAAACAGGTTGGCATTAAAATGTCACATTCTGCATATTTTCATCTCAATATATTGTATTTTCTTAGGTTTTCAAACTTTTTAAAAGATGTATTTTTGTCGGTTAGTGTCTAACAGAGGACAAATGTTTTCGACATGATTTTTTAAAATTATCTATCGTCGAATTGCAATGAATTTCCAGAAGATGATAACCTCATAATTCCGTACAATTCTCTTTGTGAGGGAGGTTGAATGCTAGACAGAGTGATGTCTCTGGTGTTCTCCACATATGCAATAGAATGAGCTCGTATTAAGACACGTTGGCAGTTTCTGAATGAAAAGAATTGCTACCTCTACTACTACTACTACTACTATTATTATTATTATTATTATTATTATTATTATTATTATTACTATTATTATTATTATTCATTGAGTGTTTACACTTGCAGTCCCTGCTCTCTAACAGTGGAGACTAAGTTACAAGTTCCATCAATTTTCAACCATTCTACTCGGTATTCTAGGTAATTTCGGTAATACTTTTGTGTGAATGGTTCCGACTCTTCTCCAGATTGGTAGTCCCTCCATCTTTCATTTTTTAATAATAATAATAATAATAATAATAATAATAATAATAATAATTTGAAATAGAAATCTCAAAAATGTGGCATATGAGAACATCAACAATCCCTGTTGTTGTTGGAGCCCTAGTATTGGTTGGAAAAGATTCCAGTAGACTAATTGAAGGGATTCCTGGAAATCTATGCCTCAAAGAGATACAAAAAATTGTTCTGACAAGTACAGCCCACACTTTACGAAAGGCTTTATCTATGTAATTTTTTTTTCTTTGTCAGTGGAAGGTGTCATGATGCCATTTCTAACCTTAGGTCCCTGGCCGGGACCCGGAAAGAAATGTGGAAACGCCAGAAATCAAAGGAAATAAAAATAATAATAATAGCAATAATAATGAGAAGAAGATTATGAGAAAGGAAAAGATGATGAAACATCTATATAAATTCCAAGAGTGATAAAACAAAGAAAGAATACAAAAATAAGCATTAATTGGAGTTCACTATTTTACCATGTGGAACAGCAAAATCCATAATTTGACAATTGCCACTTTTCATATCTGTAATATTTAGGTCGGGTCTTCGTGCTTCAATGACATCATCTGCCTGGATTTAGAAATCCCTTTATATCTTGTGACTGTTAACTACTGTATCTGTCTGATATCACCTGTCTTTGTCATAAAACCAAAATTTACAACATACGTCACAATAAATTCCCTGCCGTCCCTTGTATACTCTTTCTATGTCAACTTAGGACATTTGCCCAGTATGTGATTTTCTCATCAGCTTGTCTATTATTATTATTATTTTTGTTTTGATTTCCTTTGATTTCTAGTGTGTACACATTTCTTTCTGGGTCCCGCCCAGAGACCTAAGGTTAGAAATGGCATCATGATATTTTCCACTGACCAATTTAAAAAAAAAAAAATCATACATATTTTACATAGCTAAAGCCCTTCGCAAAAATAAGAACAACAACACATATAATTTACATAGATAAAGCTCTTCGTAAGGTATGGTCTTTACTCGTAAGAACAATCTTTTGTATTACTTTAAGGCATTGGCTTCCAGGAATCCCTTCAATAAGTCTACTGGGATTTTTTTCCAACCAATCCGCGGGCTCCAACTACAACATGGATTGTTGATGTTCCCATGTGCTACATTTTTGAGATTTCAATTTCAAGGTATTATTGCTATTATTTATATCTTTTATTTATCATTTTATGTATATTTATAATTTCGGATTCTGAAAATAATTCTAAAAGTCTTTTTGATTCACTTATTAAGAAATTACAGCATTTGAACAACTAGCAATTATTGTTTTTGTTTTTTCACTGACAAAAAAAACATGTTTTACATAGATAATGCCCTTCTGTGCTGTACTTGTGAGAACATTTTTTGTATTTCTTTGAGGCATGGACTTCCAGGAATCCCTTTATTATTATTATTATTATTATTATTATTATTATTATTATTATTATTATTATTACTGTATGATGTCAATATAGATCTAGCCATTTCTACTTTCACTTCTTGCGTATTTTAATTTGTATTTTCTCTCTTAGAAGATCGCTTCCTTTCATTTTCTTGTTGTTTTGTAAGTACGTTTTCGCGCTTAAACCATTTTCCCTCCATTCAAACCCCAGCGGCTGCACGCGCATGGATGAATCCAACACCGTCCGCCTATTTAACAAATTTTGTCCTTGCTTTCACATCTCCTGACTAAGATTGAGAATGATGTTCTAGAAATTTAATTGCCTTTTTGGAAACTTCAGTCAGTATATTTTGGTTTATTGCTTCTCTTTGTGCAATATTTTCTTTGGAAGGATAAGAAATGCCGGTCTGCTGATTGACCTGAACGTTAATTCGTGCATTCGATCACGTAATAAAGTTGAAAAGGTGTTTAAATAATAGATGAAAGAAGCGGTGGAAAAAGAATAAAAAGACAGAAAACAGTAGTAAACAAAAAGGAATCAACGTGGAAGGAATCCAATTGAATAGAAAGAAACAAACAAACAAACGAAGAAACAAACAAACAAACGAAGAAACAAACAAACAAAGAAAGCAAAGAAAAATAGAAAAATAAGTAAAATAAGGATAAAAAAAGCAATGGTAATATTATTTGTTTCCTTATTAGGAAACATTCGTCCACCACCGATCGAGCAGTCAGTGCCACTGCCGACTAAATTTTATAAAATCTTTCTTAAAAAATGTTTTCAGGAAAATTGGGTTCTGATGTCCAGTAACTATTATCGCTCTTTTCAGTGTTAATAGAGAAGTTTTAACGTTTTCTTTGGTATAGTGTACAAATTTAACATTTTGATTATGTCATTATCCTCCCGTTAGTTACATATGATAGACATTTTTGGTCTTGATGTTGTTTAAAGTCATAAATCGATACGCTTTTTTGGAAACTAACAAAGACTGATACTGTTAATAAATAAGACTGTACGAAATTAAAAAAAAATCACATTAAACACACCAGCAATAAAGTCGTAGCAAAGAAAGATTTGTTGAATGTCATTGTAAAAAAAAAAGAGCTTAGATGAGAAACTTTTCACGCTCGTGTCAGCCAGGAATAGCTATACCTCTTTGAATCTAATTCAAACTGGACCAGTGTTTACTATTTTAGGCTAGTGTCAACAAGACATATCTATACCTCATTTAATCTAGTTAAAACTGTACCAGTGTCGACCATTTTTACACTCGTGTCAAACAAGCATATCTATACTATATATCGGTATATATTTAACTGGTATATATTGTACTTTTTTGATGAAATTCAGGGTATTTACCTTTTTGCCTCTTAGGTCTACCTTTCTTAGTCTAGTTTTAACAGGAACTATGTCTAATTCTTTGATTCGAGGATAAATGTATATGTCTACTTTTTCTTACTTTAGTATCAAGTAGGCATATTTATAACTCTTTGGCACCAGATGAAACATTTTTATTGCATTTTAAACCTGAATTATATCTACCTTTTTGATACTTGGACCACCTTGTCTTATTCTCATGTAAAACGAATCTATATGCTAGCGTATTTTATTCTGTCTCTGTAATAAGTCTGCCTTTTTAATTCAAATGTTAACCGGGCCTATGTCTGCCTATCTTATAATTCATTGTAAATTACTCCTATAAATTTTATATGCGACATTAAATAACCCAATTAAGCAAACCAAATCTGACATAAACAATTTTCCATATACAGTACGACATGTATTTGGATTAGAACATCGAGTAGTGACTGAACGAGAAAATATGCAACTGCTTCAACCACGTGTCTAGTTCCAATCTTGCAGATATCGCCTTTGTAATTAGATTGATAGTCTCGTGTATGAAGGCTGTGAGTAATGATTCTAGAGTGTAAATAGAGAACACATCATATTCGACTAGACAGGAGGTATTCGTGTAATGTTGGTCTTTCTAAAGCATCTGTCCGACATCATTCAATCTGTACAGACACCTCGCCAGGCCACAAAAAAAAAGACTCGCTTGAGCACTCGCCTGGTAAGCAATAAATTGCCGCAGCTGAAAGTATGTAATCTACTCACCGTAAATTCATCGGATGTCTTCACTCAAGGGAAATCCAGTCCAAAAGCTAGCCACAGTTTTCTGCTAAAAGATCAAGGAATCACACAGATGAATTATTTTCTGCTTGGAGGCCGGTTTTCAACTGCAGTTCAAATGATTGACAAAGCGCAGACGCACTGATTACACATACATATCCGAGGCTGAGTCAAAAGTATGATTTAAATCCGACAGACTGATTAGATAAGGAACAAGTATGAACATTTTTTTTATAAATTCAGCATGTTTTGCTATTTATTTAGCGTAAAGTGGAATAATGTGGAATTTTCAGATGATGCAATCAAGTATTAGATATTTACTTACAGCATTCGCCATATATATCCTATAAACAAATAAAATCAATTTTTAATTCTTCTTGTTTTTCTACTTCTTTTTTTCTGTTTTCATCTTCCTTCTACTTGTACTTGTTCTTTTTCTTCTTTCATCTTTTCTACTTTGTCTTCCTTCTTTTTCTTCGTCCTCCTTTTTTTCATCTATAGCTTCCTTCTTGTGTTTCTTCTTCTTCTTCTTCTTCTTCTTCTTCTTCTTCTTCTTCTTCTTCTTCTTCTTCTTCCGTCTTGTTTTTATACTTTCACCTTCCTTCTTCTACATATTCTTCTTCTTCTTCTACTTCCTTCTTTTTTTTCTTCCTTCTTATTCTTCTTCTCTTTTTTCTTCTTTCTTCCTCTTGTTTTTCCTTCTTCTTTTTTCTTCTTCCTTGTTATTTTCTTTTTCTTCTTTCTTCTTTTTCTCCTCCTGATTCTTCTTCTTCTACTACTACTACTGCTACTTCCCGTGGCGTGCGACGAAAGATCCCTGATGAAGGCTTGAGATTAGAACGACTTTTGGGGGTATTACATCCAAAATAAGGAAAATATTCCTAATAGATGCGAACATAATAATATTTTTAGTATTGCACAATGAAGCAAGAGCGGGGTGCTCAACCAGTATTGAACGCACATAAGTTTAGTAAGTGCTCCACAGCTCAGTGCCAATGAAAATATTATTTTATTGTATTAATTCTAACTTCAGTATCTGTCTATATTTCTGAGATGAGGTATTATGTACACTATTTACATTATTCGGACTATTGTCCTCATTTTTTTCACTATATTTATTATAAAGTCTCGGCCCTTCAGTATCTGTCTATATTTCTGAGATGAGGTATTATGTACACTATTTACATTATTCGGACTATTGTCCTCATTTTTGTCACCATATTTATTACAAAGTTTCGGCCTTTCAGTATATGTCTATATTTCTGAGATGAGGTATTATGTACACTATTTACATTATTCGGACTATTGTCCTCATCTTTGTCACCATATTTACTACAACGTTTCGGCTTTTCAGTATCTGTCTATATTTCTGAGATGAGGTATTATGTACACTATTTACATTATTCGGACTCTTGTCCTCATCATTGTCGCCATATTTATTACACTATTTGGGTCCTGTACCTGGATCTTTCGCTCACTGGGGTAGACTGTTCTAGTTTCACGTGCCATGGCACAGTGGATAAAGCCCTTAGTTAGATCCAGTAACAGGACCCAAAGGAGTGTGAGTTCAATACCTGGTTAAGGCATTGGAGAACTTGGAGAGGGGAATTAACAGGAGATAACTGACATCCATTAAACATGGCACGTGAAACTAGAACAGTCTACCCTAGTAAGCGAAATAAAGGGTTCAGTTCGACATTCCAAACACCTGAAGAAGGCCGGAGAGTACAACGGCCGAAATGTTGTAATAAATATGGCGACAAAGATGAGGACAATAGTCCGAATAATGTAAATAATGTACATAATACCTCATCTCAGAAATATAGAGAGATACTGAAGAAGGACGGAGCGTACAACGGCCGAAACGTTGTAATAAATATGGCGACGAAGATGAGGACAATAGTCCGAATAATGTAAATAGTGTAATTCTCACTTACACAGGCATCAAAATGAATGCCACTTTAAATACAGGGTTGCTCAGTTTTTTCAGGGAATTTACATGAATTTATTAAAACACATATGTCATGAAAGAAGAGATTTTTCGGAGAACGAATTGACGTGAATAATCTTGAGATTTTTCTTGGCGCATCAACCTAATGAATTAACGATTAGTCTTGATGACTGTTTCAGTACGACGTCAAAGAAGTTGATATGCCCCAATCAGATTATGTATTTTTGACATTGTGCTAGCTATGGTGGACATCAGAGATTTTATTGTGTTATTCGCGTGTTCAGTGACTTTTCCCTCGACTATGAACCATACGTAATCAAGTCTGGAGCGCCAGAGGAACCATAGGTTGGGGGGGTGATGTAATCGTGGACATTGTAACTCATCCATTCTTGGGTCGTCTTCACCTTATGAAACTTCACAGAATCTTGTTGGTCGGTGTAAGAATACTTACAGAATTTAAATCTTCGATTTATTTATCTAATTATTAATTTGCCAAACAATAACCCCACTTACCGAAAATTTGCTTTGTATCGTAAAAAAAAGACAATAAAATTAAAACATTATTTAATTAGAAAAGCTTGCAATTGCTTTTATGAATAAGATATATTATAAGATTGTCTTAAGAAAAATATTTTTTGTTGAATAATGAATGTTTACAATAATTGTCTCATTTTTTAAAATTTTAATTAGAATAATTTATAGAGTTTTAAACCCGTTAAAATTATGTATTAATTTGTACGGGTAATTGTTATTAATTAAAATCTATATTTACTAATTATACATGCAAAAGATTCAGTGACCCCTGTATTTTAAAAAGAATTTGGAAGTTTTGTGCCTGTATAAACGTCCCGATTTTTGTAAACACGGATATCCATACATGGCATTAACAGAAAAGATGAGCAGTAACTATAGCAAATGTAAAACCAAAATACCTAGAATTCAACATTAGATTACAAAGAACTTTTCCTAATTTTTTAAGATTACTGGGTAGTTAAAAATAATATAGAAAGGCGTTCACGTTATATTCCTCAATTGATTTTTACAGATATGTACCCCACACAAAAGATTAGTTAAATTTTCGGCTGTCAATCTGTCAATAGATCTGTCAACACCTAATCAATACACCTACCTCTGGGTAAAAAATGCATTTCTGCGCTATTTTAAACAAAAAGTAATAATTATTTCAAATCAGACTAATTAAAATTTAATTCATCTAATATTTCCCAAATAAAGTTTCAGAAAAGTATTTTTAAGATTTTTTAATAAAGAAAATTACTTACCGATGTCTACAAACGGCAAAAATCCGTGATTTTTAACGAATTTTAAAAAAAATCTCCTTCCAGGCAATTTGTTTCGAAGCTTGGTATTAAAACTAAAACAAAAGCTGCAGGAATGTTTTTTTCATTTTTAAAAATCCATTTTAAACCTTAGTAATTACGTATGATTTGTGGTATCTACTATTATAGTATGTATCTACTATTATAGAAATTATAGAATGTACCTAGCATGCTGTTTTTACTTTTTTTTATCGTCTTTGGCTGAGGAGGAAGTGACGTAAGTCATTAGCGATTGATCAGCAGTGGCATTTATTTAACGAGTTCATTTGGTGCGTGCTTGGCGTATTTATTTGTTTATTTATTTATTTATTTATTTTTGCTTCAGGATCACCTGCCGGAATAGTACTGTTTCGGTAGGGTCACTTGGGTGAACAAGTATGATGTTGGAAGACCCGAAACTTATCATAACCCCAAGTTATAACATCACTGACGAGGCGATCCTGAGCAGTCGTTGGAGTGTTTTCATGTCATAGAAAAAGAGTTTTGTCAATATCAATCGAGAGAGGCAAAATTGAGTCAAAAGAAATACTCTAGTATTTCAAGTTGATATTTCAAGTTCCATGAAATTTAACTTTCAGATTGTTATAATAAAAATCATGGATTGAACATCTGACATCAGTAAAAAAAAATCTCTCTTGAGGTAAAAAGCGAATGATTTCTCTGAAACAATTGTCTCTATAAAAATTAATGATAAATATCGTTACAATTCTCCAAGGGACAAGGGCTCTTTCTGTGTTAAATTATAGTTTAGACTATTATTTTTAGAGGATGTGTATCTCAGCACCAACTTCAGGAGGTTGACAGCTGAGGTCAGATGTGAACCAAAATAGGGAAGTCGATTGACTGAGCTAGCGGGAGAATGAGATAAAGGTTTCAGTGAGGTGTTACGTACCCGTAAAGCATATAGACGTTTTATCCTTCGCATCCGAAACAGCTCCCCAATGCTCGGGGCGAAATCCTCTGTATAGTTAGATAATGTACATGTCGACAGGATTAATAAAAATAGTTAAGATTCTCTGTGTTTAGATCCTTTCGTTTTCGAACCAATACGATTATCGATCGTCAGCCAAGATAAAACCGCCCCCACCAGGGGTTATGCAACATATGTACGTTCCTATGATTTGTGAAATATTCCTTCAGCGGAAATTTCTAGCATGATTACGTTTGGCTATTATATTTCAATCTAATCAAAAATAGTGCACCAAATTTCCAAAGAAAAGGTTTGTCAGTTAGGTGTCATACATTTGTAGAATGCTGCCTCTTTCGGTTCATGACTAGAAATTTCCTGCTGTTGTTTGCCATTTTTTCTGCGGTAGATAAGACGATAGAACAGAGTCCGTCCCCATACTTAAAAGAGAAGAGAAGAGATGGGTTCATACCTTTCCTAAGAGTAAGTGAATGTAACGAACCAGTCAGGAATTCGAACTCGGCTCTCCCATTTCTTATCCCGAGCCGATATCTATTACACCACAATGTACATAAGACATAGCGGTTCTTTTTAATATTATTGGGTCGAACCAAAAGTCCCTAGTGTTTGTAAAGAGAATTTCAATGGCATATATTTATATATTTTACATAGATTTATTTAACGACATACGTGACATTTCTTCCACTAGATTTTCGCCATCTTTGAAACATCTTTTTAAATCACCCTAACAGAGCTGAGTGAGTTCAATCCTTACTTCCGGCCTCGTGCCTCATATTAGTTACGGTTAAAAGAACCACCATCCTCACAGAACTGAGCAGCTTTCTGGCTGTTGAACTGGTCGAAATCTTTTTTTACAAGATCACAGAGAATTTAATTTTTTTTCCCAGTTAAGAGCATTGTGTAGGACTCGCAATAAGTGGTAGTTCGAAGATGCAAGGTTAGGTGAATAAGACGTGTGTAGTAGAGCACCGTAGCCAAGCTGTACCGATTTCTAGCGAATCTGGAGAGGGTTTCGTGATGTCCTGGTTGAGAACAACACTATTCTGATTAACCAATTCCATTCGCTACACTTAATTGGTTCAACAGGGAACAACACTTGTCTGAATTCAGCATTTGATTTGACGGGAGGAGCTCATAACACACATTTCTCTTTCAATCCCCTTTCAAACTCAGATACGCAGCATCACCGTCTGGTTAACAATGGCTTGTTTTCTTTACTCATGCGCAATCCATTTTTCATAACCTGTGATTGGTCTGTTCAAAAATGCTTCAATTTTTGGTGTTCGGGCAGAGAACCACATATGTAAATGGGATTCATTGCATTTATCCACCCAATATCGTAACAGTTCACGTATGCAAGTGTTTTTGAATGCGTTGCAACGCTCATATGTCTTCTGTGGAGTATATCTGCGACGTCCCGTGTCGTGTGACCTGAATTATCTTAAATCATCGTTTCGATTTTAAAATCATCAACGTCTGTAGGCGTGGCAGAATGTTCTTTCTCTTCTAGATCAAGATTTCAACTTCTGAGTATTCTCAGCGATGACATCATCGCCATAAATATTGCTCATCTACATTTCTGTTTATACAGTGTTTTTCCTTCCCGGACATAAAAGAGCATCAAATGACGAAAATGCATCATAAATGCAAAATA